TTGAAGTTCAAAAAGATTAAACAGTTGGGCTAAAATCAAAGAGCTCGTTAAGTGGGAGAGCTGAGATTCAAAATGTTTGATTAAAAATCACACTCTTTCCAGTTCAGGACTGTATGTCCTTCAAAAGGAGGTTAGAGCCTAAAAGAATCTCAAAAATTGTGGAATTTGAACTCCCCTTAACAGATGAGAAATCGAACCCCAGAGAAATTAAATGACTTGACCAAAAGCAAATCATTCACTAATGATTGAAAACAACAGCAACAGTGCTTGTTTGGGCAGCACACGTACAGTACTAAAATCCCCTGTGCAAGGATGGCAGGTAAATCTGTGAAGAGTTAGATGTTTACAAGTAAAAAGAACAATATCAATACCAAAAAACACAAACACACCAAGCCTGATTGGCAGATCAGTGACCCTTGCTGTGCTTGGTTTAGATAGGCCATCTGTCATTCCCTAGCGCGGGTTTGTTTCTCGCGCCCCATCTCTGGCTCTGGTCAGGTACGCTAAGTAGGGAGTAGGGGGAGGAAAAAAAAAAAAAAAATTTTTGTCTTGATGCGTTGGCCGGGAATCGAACCCGGGTCAACTGCTTAGAAGGCAGCTACGCTCACCACTATACCACCAATGCCTGCTGTTCAGTGGCTTCTGGAATTATAAATATAAAAGTAGAGGTAGTGAATCTACTGAAGGTCATGGATTTATGATTTCAAGGCAGGATCGCTAAAACTTCCTGATGCCGGGAGCCTGAGAGCCGGGACCACGGGGTGGCTGCAAAGAAAGCGTCAGTTCAGCTCCGCGAGGGATATTTCTCCGCCGCTATCGCCCTGCTTCCCTCACAGCCGGACGCTCCCAGCTTCGCGACGCCCCGCTTGGATCCACTGGGTGTCGGATTCCGTCTTGGGTGAGGGGGTGATGGGCCAGTACTAGATCCACCAACGCCTAGCTCCGCCTCACCAAAGGAGAGGAGTGCGCAAAGGAAACGGAGCTTCAAGGTTTAAAATGACGAGGAAGTAACAGATAGGAATGAGCAATCGGTGACAGTTTTATTTTCTTGTTTTGCAAATAGAATCAAGAAGAGTATTTTAATTGAAACAATAGATTAAATACATTGCTATGATCATACATTGTGCTTCATCAGTTTATGATAAACTGAAAAGAAAGTAGAAAAATACACCCTTATGTGTGTCAGGATGGCCGAGCGGTCTAAGGCGCTGCGTTCAGGTCGCAGTCTCCCCTGGAGGCGTGGGTTCGAATCCCACTTCTGACAATATCCTTTTCAGTAACACAACCCTTAGAGAAGGTAGTATTCATAGACGGTTGTTTTTATTTCATTTCGGGATATGTAACTAGAGGAAGACTGTTATACACTACTGTAAATGTTGGATGAAATCCAATATGCAGTTGAAGCTAAGATCTTTCCTTATGAAAGAATAGAAATTTTTACTTTAGACTCCAATTTCCTGGTGCCTGTTTAGTCTTTTATCTGACAACAATGTACAAGGGACCCTCAAGTTATCACCGGCCTGACATATGAACAACTTGGGTTAATTGGTTAATGGAAGATCCATCTGCCTCTTGTTATCCATAGAGTGTACCCAGGTAAACATCCAGATATCAGCTGTATTGACTTACAACCAACTTGAGTTACAACCAGCCCTCAGGAACCGATTGAGTTCATAAATCAAGGATCCACTGTATTGAGCCCTTTCTATATGTCAAGTGCACTGAGACAGGTCGTTATCAGTCTTCGACGGAACAAGAGAAAGCCCTTTATTCAGGGACCCTTGATTTGCTGCAATTACCCCGAATCTTTTCATGCTAAGGCAATGGTTTCAAGCTTTGGTGAACAGGGTAATCCCCATCCACCTCCTTGCCCAACCAACCCCCACCACCAATTCTAATCTTGTAGGTTTCCTGTTTCACACCAGGAAAAGAAATAAACAGACCAAATGGAGAACAGATGGGGAAAATAAATTCACAGAATTGGTTGCTTCAAGAAATCCTTTTTGTAGGAGATCTCAAATCATTTTCTGATTTGGGAGAAGCTGGGCATGTAAAAAGCCTTGTTGTGAGGTGGGGCCTGAAATCTAAATTTCTAAGACCTACTAAATCTGCGTTTTACAAAATCTACGGGTGATTTGAATGTATATTAAATTTCAGAACTGTCTCCCTAATAGTCTAAGTGTTTTTCCACAGGCCGATCTTTAACCTGGAATCTCTATCTCTTGCTTCTCACCAGGCCTTTTATTCAGTATCATTTAGCTATTTACCATTTTTTAAGCTTGAAAGTGGTTGTTTGTAATGCATAGGAATTGAGGATGGGGCAAGAAAATGCTTACTACAAGATTTGATATTTTTAAATAATGGGTATATATTTTGGTTTAACTTGTGAATGGGTGACATAGTTGTGATTACAATAATCAGTGAAGACTGTACAACATAAGGGTTGAGAGCAGGGGTACTGGGGATTGAATTCAGGGCCTTCACACTGAGCTGCATCTCTAGACATTTTGAAACATTTTTAAATTTTGAGCTGGGCATGGTGATGCACGCCTGTAATCCCAGCACTTGGGAGAGTGCGGCAAGAGTATTGCTGTGAGTTTGAGGCCAGCCTGGCCTGAGACAAGGTCTCCCTAAATTGCCTAGGCTGGCTCAAGTTGTAATCCTCCTTCTTTAGCCTCCCAGAATGCTGGGACTACAGGTGTGCATCACCACAACTGACAATAAGAAATTTTAGATGCCTGTTATTACAAGAAATCTCAAAGAAACTAAACCAAAATTACCAACAGCAATCATTGAAAAATAGAAATGGATAGTTAATTTACTTAAATCTCCCCATAGATAATTAGATACCACCCAGTTGGGAGGATATGAAGTATTTTCACAAGTACTAAACACCATAAAATGTATGTTTTTAAATTTTTTAAAAAAGGAGAAAGGCATGTTGTGGGAATAGTAAGAAACTCCATAGATCTAACTATAAACATTATTCTTGAGAGAGAAGTACAAATAGGTTGAGATGGTCTATGTTGGAAATTGAGAAATTCAGGAAAATAATGTAATAACACAAGGTGCTTATGTAATTCACCTCTCTACCCAACCCCCATGCACCTCACCTCCATCATGTACCCATATCGCTCCTCTGCCAAGTACTGGGGATTGAACCCAGAGCCTTCACACAGCTATATACTGTACCCTTTTAATTTTTTTGGTATGAGGGATTGAACTCAGGTCTTTGTACTTTCAAGACAGGCAGCAGAACCACTGAGCTAAATCCCCAGCCCTGCTGGCTCAATTTTTGAGACAAGTTCATGGTAAGTTGCTCAGTCTGGGCTTGAATTTGCAGTTTTCCTGCCTCAGCTTCCTGCATGTTTTTTTTCAGGTTCCTTCACATGAATCCAGGTTGACTAAGACTTGAACCAGGCACAGAAAAAGAGGGCAGTTAAAAATGTGAAATGATATCCAGGGACAAGTAGATTGTTAGTGCAACCTACTCTCTACCTGCAAGAGACCACCTAAGCTAAATATAGTGTACCATTATTCTAGCCAAGCTTACTTTCATTTCTGAGTTTAAAATAAATTTCCCACTGTTCATGATAGATAAAGTATGAATTAGGCTGACTGGGAATTAACTCACCCAGTTTATCCTTGCTACTATATTGTCATTTACTTAACTGACAGTAAAGGTGAGTCTGTGGATGTCCCCCAGGTTCAGTCATTTGCTATAAAAATATATGCAAGGGCCGGGAATTTAGCTCAGTGGCAACATGCCTGTCTCACAAGTGCAAGGCCCTGAGTTTGAGGCCCTGGTACCTCAAAAACAAAAACAAAAACATGCAAACGTTCACTTAACAATGTAAGTATACAATAAAATAAATACTCTTCCCCTTATGGTTCAGCAGCCAGTTGTATTCTAAAGGCATAATCTGTCAACTTCACAGTATCTGGGGGAAGGTGTAGTAATATGTAGAGTTATGGTCTGTTTGTGAGGTGCCATGCTTGGGATTTAGTCAGGCAGAACAGAATTCTTAATTCCATCTTTCCCTCTGTCTACCACATTTAATAGTTATGTGATCTTGAGTAAATTTTTTAACCTGTTTAAACTGCAGAATCTTCACCCCCAAAAAAGATAACCACCCTGTAATACTGCTGTGAAGATTAAATTGTATATGTCAAGTAACACAACTTGATGCTCAACTAATAATTACTAGCTAATATTACTTGGTAGTGTAAATGCCTACCATTCTTTTTTTGCCTCTTACATATTTTAATTGAATTCTCACAATAATATTGAGGTAGCTACTGTTGTCATCTCAGTATATGCAAGGGAAAATTGAGGTTGGGAGAATTTCATTTACACAGTACAGCATTCAATGTGATAGAGTTGAAAACCTGTGCATTCTGGGTCCAATGCAGCCATAATGCTACAGCACTGTTGTTACTCTGCTCCTCCGCCCGTCAGCAGAAATCAGCTGGGATCATGCTATTCTTCTTACATCAACAAGGTCAACCAATAGCAACTTCAATCACATCCACTGACCTACTCTGACATATACTATTCCCAAAGTCCATTTGGGAGCCTTGTCTCCAAAATAACAATGGATAAAATGACATGCTTAGAAACAGCTAACAATCACGTAAACTGTTTGTCTGTGTTATTAGTATACAGATTAACAAACTAATCTCCCAACATAGAATTTTTGTCTTAGGGTTGCACATGGGAAACTTGCTAGTATTTAAGTTTCTCTCTATTCTCTGCTTTTTCAACTCCACTGACCTCCCTCCCTTTTCCTGCACTATAAGTCCTCTCCTAACACCCCTCATACCGCAGTACTGATTCAATGTGTCTGCCTCAAACTGTCTTATCTTGTTTTCTCCTACAGGAAATTTGCACACAGCCTTATGAATTTTCTTCATGTCTCTCCTTCAGCACCTACTCCAACATTTTCTGCTTCTAAAAGGTGAGCTTCATCATGTACTTCATTGACTGGAATGAAAACCAGGAAGTTTTAAAGTTTATTTAGATCTACAACTATATTTCACATAACAAAATCCACACATGCAAGTAAAAAAAAATACAAAATATATAAGAAAGCAATGTTAAAGTGTCACACAAATGTTAATAATAAATTAATGACTTCTGTTTGTTTGAAATCAAAGAAGAGGAATTTTTTTCAAAAAGTCAAATGACAAAGACCTGGGTTATACAACATACTGTGAAGAAAGCTCCCATCTTTAGGGGGAACACACTTCTTACCCAGGAACCCCTAAAGTTACAGGACAGAATAATAGAAGACAGTCTAGAAGGCCCAAAGGCCCAAACCTTGACAGTAATATCAGACTTAGCATGAGGAGTCATTCAATTGACTTCCTCAATGATGGGGCCGGTACTGGGCCTCCCCTGGTGGGCTTGAGCCCCACAGCTGCTGCCTCCAGGAACGCTAGACCCTCCACAGAGCCTAGAAAAGATGGGGTGGCAGATTCGCTCCAGTTCCTTCTTCTGATGCTCATATTCCTCCTTCTCCGCCAACTGGTTGTGCTCCAGCCAGGCAAGGACTTCCTGACACTTGCCTTGCACTTTGCGCCTGTCTTCTTCAGGGCTCTTGTCCCTAAGACTTTCTTCTTGCAAGGAGCCCTTTATGTGGAACACAGGAGCCTCCAGGGAGTTTTTGGCAGCCACCCTCTCCCTCTGGGCCTCATCCTCAGCCTTGTACTGCTCAGCCTCATGAACCATTCTCTCCACTTCCTCCTTGCTCAGCTGGCCCTTGTCATTGGTGATGGTGATCTTGTTAGCCTTGCCTGTGCTCCTGTCAGTGGCTGTCACACTCAGGATACCATTGGCATCGATGTCAAAGGTCACCTCAATCTGAGAGACTCCACGCAGGGCAGGAGGGATGCCTCTGAGCTCAAAATGCCCCAGCAGGTTGTTGTCCTTGGTCATGGCCCTCTCGCCCTCATACACCTGGGTTAAGACCCCAAGCTGGTTGTCAGAGTAGGTGGTGAAAGTCTGGGTGTGCTTGGTGGGAATGGTGGCATTCCTCTGGATTATTGTGGTCATCACCCCACCTGCTGTCTCCAGCCCTAGTGATAGGGGAGCCACATCCAGCAGCAGGAGATCCTGCACTTTCTCACACTTGTCCCCCATCAACACTGCCGCCCGCACCGCAGCCCCATAGGCCACACAGCCTCATCAGGATTAATGCTCTTGTTCGGCTCTTTGCCATTGAAGAAATCCTGCAGTAGCTTCTGCACCTTAGGGATGCGGGTGGAACCGCCCACCAAGATGACATCATGGATTTGGGCCTTGCCCAGCTTGGCATCCCGCAGGGCCTTCTGCACAGGCTCCAGGGTGCTGCGGAAGAGGTCCAAGCACAGTTCCTCAAAGCGGGCACGAGTGATAGATGTGTAGAAGTCCATGCCTTCGAACAGGGACTCAATCTCCAGAGTGGCCTGGGTGCAGGAGGACAGGGTGCGCTTGGCTCGCTCACAGGCTGTGCGCAATCGGCGAAGGGCCCGTTTGTTGCCGCTCACATTCTTCCCATGCTTCCGCCGAAACTCCTCCACGAAGTGGTTCACCAGCCGGTTGTCAAAGTCCTCTCCACCCAGGCGAGTGTCTCCAAATGTAGCCTTCACCTCGAAGACGCCGGCGTCTATAGTAAGAATCGACACATCAAACGAGCCTCCACCAAGGTCAAAAATAAGGACATTGTGCTCTCCTGCCCCACGCCGGTCCAGCCCATAGGCAATGGCGGCCGCAGTGGGCTCACTGATGATCCTCAGCACGTTGAGCCCTGCAATGGCACCCGCGTCTTTGGTAGCCTGGCGCTGCGAGTCGTTGAAGTAGGCAGGCACTGTGATCAACGCGTGCCTCACGGGCTGGCCCAGGAACTCTTCAGCCGTCTCCTTCATCTTGCTCAGCACCAAGGACGAGATCTCCTCGGGGTAGAACGCCTTGTCCTCCCCGCGATAGGACACGCGCACCTTGGGCTTGGCGCCCTCGCTCACCCCCTGGAAGGGCCAATGCTTTATGCCCGACTGCACCGTCGCGTCCAAGAACTTGCGCCCTGTCAGCCGCTTGGCGTCAAAAACAGTGTTGTGCGGGTTCAGGGCCCCTTGGCTCTGGGCGGCGTCTCCCACCAGCCGTTCGGTGTCGGTGAAGGCCACGTAGCTGGGCGTGGTGCGGTTGCCCTGGTCGTTGGCGAGGATCTCCACCTTGCCGTGCTGGAACACGCCCACGCACGAGAATGTGGAGCCCAGATCGATGCAGATCTCCACTTCCCTTGGGGCTTACATGGCTGTGGCTTCTAGCGCTTAGGATACGACTTCAGACTTCAGATGCAGGGACTCCGGAGGTCTGTGGTGCTCAGGAGAAAAGGGGCGCTCAGTAGAACCGACTGCTCCCGTGTGCTCTCCAGGCAGCCCGCGGAGAATCTGCCCCGCTCAGCGGCTGCCGGGCTTTTATAGGGCTGCGGGGCCCCGCGCCCCTCCCGCCCTCCCTGGCGGGAACCTTCCTGAGACCTCTCCGCGCACCGAGAGCCGTGGGTCCCCGCCCGCGCCGGCAGAGTCACTCCGAAAAGGTTCCCCCCGGCCGCCCGGGGCGGGAGGGGCGCGGACGCCTGGGCCGGCCCGTCTGCCTTCACCTCAGAGCTGCCGAAGAGAAACACCGAGAAAGTGCCAGCTTCTCCCGGCTGGTTCTCACCGCCCTCGGCCGTGGCTGAGGCAGTGAAGGCAGTAACCGAGGCCAAGCTCTCCGCCGCAGCTCCGGAAAGCTGGGGCGTCGTTACCACACAAACAGAGCAGAGCCGCCGCCTCAAAGCCGGGAGTTCACACAGTCGCTTTAGTATTTTTTAAAAGTTTATTGTGAAAAAACAAGAAAGCTCATTTTAAAATATAAACGTAATATTTTCAAAGCAGACGTTCTGTTCGTCAAAGGAAGGCGGCTGGATAGCAAAGTGAAGAGCGATACTGAAGACCACTTGCTGCTGTCTGCATTGGTGGTTCAGTGGTAGAATTCTCGCCTGCCACGCGGGAGGCCCGGGTTCGATTCCCGGCCAATGCACAAAATGCTTTTTCTATTTAGGCCTTAAGTTTTCGATATTTTTCTATTTTAAGATTTATAACACTTAAATATAAGAAACAAATTTGTCAGAGGCCTTGGGTTATTTTGACACGGTTCCTCCTCTTTAACAGCTTTCCTCAGAGAAGCCGGAGGTAGTGCTGAGGTGAGGGAATGCAACCTATGGGCCGTAGGAGGTACAAGGTCGCCAGATGTCGCTCCTGCGGCTTTCCAAGGCCTGTCTCCGAAATGGTAAATGTGCTTTTTTCTCTGTGGCAGAACTGGGATCCAATTCAGACTCAGGATTCCCGCGGAAAGTAAATTCCTACAGGGTCAAGGAAGAGATGGGGTCATCAGGCAGTAAAGCCACACTAGTTCCCATCAGGTCTGTGGCCTTATGAATTTAGCATATCAAAGGAATATATTAATTGCCTGATGCAAAGGAAACTTCTAATTTATTTATTTATTTATTTATTTATTTATTTATTTATTTATTTTTTAGGAAACTTCTGATTTAAAAAAGAGATATTGGGCTGGGGATTTAGCTCAGTGACGGCACGCCTGCCTCACAAGTGCAAGGTCCTGAGTTCGATCCCTGTACCAAAAAAAGAAAAAAAAAGAGGAATCTTAAAAAAGAGATATTGAAATGACCTGTTCCGTGGGTGGTTGTTTTCTCCAACAGATTAGAACTCCCTGGGTCCAGTGGGCCTCTGAAGAGGAAGAGAGGGTCAGGCTGCTGAGGTCAGTTCTCTCCCAGTGTTCAGGTGAGAAAAAGCAGCAGTTGGCTACTAGAGAAATTAGCAGTACTGGGAAGGTAATCAGTCCAGGAAAGAAAAATGTTTGAAGTGTCAAATGAATGACTTCCACAGTGGAAAAACCAAACTATCCTCAAAGAAAAGTAATCTATGTCATAACTCTGAGAGAGAGAGAAGTCAGGCCTAGGAGCCAGAATCAAGAAGGCCTGCAAGAGAAAGGACTTCACTTCAGAAGGAAAAGGATTGCCTGGCCTGGAGGTCTTTATTCTGGCTTGTTCAGGGACTGCCTTGTCTGGGCTCCCTAAAACTTTCTCCCTGCCTTCAGCAGCCTTAAAATACTTAGTGCGTTGGGGATGTTGCTTAGTCACAGAGCAGTTGTCTAGCATGTGTGATCCCATGTACACACAATTCCACCCATTTAACATCAAAAGTTGTGGACATAACCCTGAAGCAGGATATCAGTGTTCATGGCCTCACACGGTCATACTTTAATGTGTTTGTTTTCCGATGCTAGGGATGAAACCCAGCCTTCGGGGGTTTCCAGAAGCCATTTAGTTGTTCTGGCAGGCTGGAACTGGTATCCTCCTGCCTCAGACTCCTGAAGGTCTGGGATTACACCACACCAGGCCCAGTTTCTTTGTTTTTTGACTGATCTCTTCACAGAGGTTCAAGGGTTCATAGGGGAGTGTATATATGCAGTACTAATTTTGTACATACACTTAAACATAGCCATTTGTGTTTAGTAGCTTAGTTTGGTTATCTTTTAAAAGAGATCCGACTAAATAAATAAATAAATAAAAATGAAAAATAAGCCAGGGATTTAGCTCAGTTGTTCCACTGCCTACCTCGCAAGCACAAGGTCCAAGTTTGATCCCCTGTACCAATTAATCAATCAATCAATCAATCAATCAATAAATAAAAATAGATCAGACATTAAAGTAATGACTTACAGATTGTGAAGTGAAGGGATGCTTATCACCCAATATTGACCACAAAATAAAAGCAACTGTAGATTAAAATTTATAGCATGGTCCAAACTATATTTGAAGATCTGTCACACCAACTACCCATATTTTTAAACTTTATTCTTTTTATTAGTACATATTTGTCCTTTTTACTAGTACGTATTTGTTACACATATTGATCACATTCATCATAGGGCATTTGTAACTTTCCAGAATACATCTTATTGGTATGTTTGGTTTTTGGGGGGTGTCTTTTTGGTTTTTGTTTTTGGTACCGGGTATTGAACTCAGGACTTTGTACTTGCCAGCAGGCACAACACCACTGAGCTATATCCCTAGCCCTATTATCTGTATGTTTTAAATCAAGTCATTTCACCTATCTGGGCTACAGCTTCTTTGGTTTTAAAATAAGGAGAGTGAATGGCCTTGTTTCTAAGGATTTTTCCAGGTTCAGGCCAGGGAGTTAGCTCAGTGGTTCTGCTGCTTGCCTCTCAAGTGCAAGGTCCCAAGTTTGATCCCCAGTACCAAGAAAAAAAAAAGAAGAGGATTTTCCAGGTTCAAAAGGACTCTGATTTCAAACTTTTAAGAATTTATTAATTCCACAAATATTGAATCCAATATCATGGACAGACACTGAACCAGGCCTTAAGCATATAGTGAATAAAATAGACAAAGGCCTCTCTTGGAGCTCATATTCAAATGGGGGAGTGCCAAACAATAAACAAGTAAGCATACAGTAAGCACATCGATTGGTGATAAGTATAATGTAAAAAAAATAAAACAGGTGGGGAGAATTAGAAGTATGATGAATAGAATTATACTAAATGATCAAAGAGAACCCACTGATAAGGGGACATTTGAGTAAAGATCTAAATGGTATTGTCTTGGTCTAATTTCTGTTGCTGTAACAAAACACCTGAGACTCAGTGATTTGTAAAGAAAAGCGGTTTCTTTAGGTCACAGCTCTGGAGACTAGTCCAAGATCAGGTGGCCACATCAGCTTGGCTTCTGATGAAAGCCTCATGTGCTCCATGCCCAACAGAAATGTGCAAGGGCAAGCATGGCACTGGGAAGAGAGAAAATAGCCAAATTTTCATGATAGCTAACCTACTCCAACACTTCGGCACTGAGGACCAAGCTTCAAAATGAATTCGAACTATAACAGTCATGATGAAGCATGACATAGGTATCTGTAAGAAATAACATTCCTGAAACAGGAAACAGCAAAAGCTGTGCTGAAGCACAATGCATGTGTCTAAAAAAGGACAAGAGTAACCAAGAATAAGCATGGCAAAGCAGAAGGAAATGAGATTAGAGAAAGAATGAGGAGCAAGATCACATTAGCATCTTGCAGTACACTGCAAAGGCTTTAGCTTTTACTCTGAGTACAAGGGGAAGTTATTTTGTTTTTTCCAGTACCGGGGATCAAACTCGACTTTGCACTTGCCAGGCAGGCGCAGCACCACTGAGCTACATCACCTGCCCACGGGGAAGCTATTTAATAGCTTGAGCAAAGAAGTGACTAAAAAAAGATGATTCTTTAGCCAAGGTGACTTTCAAGAAGGAGCTACAGGAGAAAGCAAAGTGTGGGCTATGGGATGTAGCTGTCACTGCCATTATGCCATAGGATGAGAAGTCATTTGTCCCGAATGTCCTTGTACCATCTGACTTCATTCTTGCAATCTGTCATTGAGCTTCGAAGGTCTCTCTGCACAGAGAAATACAGCCCTGTGTCCACTGAGAACAGCAATCCCATCACGAGGCAGAAAATGACTTGGTACCAAGGAGGAGAGATGGATGGAATCGGAATTTCAGGACCTTCTAGGAGAGACAAAGGAAAGAGAAAATGATAGCCATTTAAGTAGAAATTTGTAGTAAACAGTGAGGTCCCCAGTAGAAAGCCTTTGTGACTTCACCCCAGCTAGGGGCTTATGGCAAAGTCAAGAGGAGATAGGTAGGCCAGGAAATCTTCAGAGGTTATCTTTGTCTCTCCGCATTCCCAAAAAAGCACTAAATTAGCATTTTCTAAAGGGCAACCATGGCACATTGGTCTGAAGTTAGAGAAGACAAAGATTTGTGGTAACCTTGGTTTGGCAACTGCCATTTGAAACATGGTTTAAAGTTTTCTGCTGGGTTTGATGGTGCATGCCTGTAATCCTAGCCCTCTGGGAGGCTAAGGCAGGAGGATTGCAAGTTCTAGCCTCACCTTGGCAACTTAGTGATTTACCGAGACCTTGACTCGAAATAAAAAAATAAGGGGCAGGGAAGAAATGTACCTCAGTGCAAAGGTCCTAGGTTCAATCTGCAGAACCACACAAAAAAAGTTTTTCTTTACAACAGACTTCTTAAAGCCTTTAACATGCATTGTGAATATAAAAGGAGAGGAACAGAGTATGCATCATGTTCCACATCAATTTAACCACAGAACCCTTCAGTTCAAAATGCTCCTAAGGAATTACATGACTGGGGAACTACAGAATCCACAGACCACATCAGTGGATCTTCACTCCCTACCTTCTCTCAGCCTAGGACTCCAACACCAGTCTCTCATAAGTACCTTCTGTTGCTTCCTGAAAAGGCATCACAAAGATTGCCTAATGCAAAATTTCAATAATAGCCATGGGCCTAGTTCTTTGTGGGGGAGAAGTATTTCCCAAGATCACACAACTGCCCTGAGCTACAGTTTGAGCTTAGGCTGAGAAGTCATTAGGCAGGCACAAGCCTCAGAATCCTATAGGTAGAGGGACATGAATCTAAGAGGAGTGGTTGAAATGAGGTGGAAAAGAGGTAGAATGATTATGTCTGGTAGATGTATTTCTGGAGAAGAAAAGATACCTTCTGTTAAAACTGAGTGAATGAAATCCATTTCCATAATCCCTGAGGAACAAAGTGGTTCAGAGCTGCACATCCACATAGCAGTCAGATCAGCTAGAACTTTGAGAGTGTCATGCATATCAAGAGGACCCCTCAGGAGAATGTCAAGTACCAAAGCCTAAAAAGGATCAGTAATTCCCGCTCTAACCCACCTTCCAAAGCCTAAAGCTCCTACCTTGGACAGTGATGGTCACAGGCTGTGATTTGTGGGGTGTCATTCCTATATGTCCTGTGCAGTGGTAATCACCACTGTGATTGTGGTTTGCTCGTGGGAGAGAGAAATTGCTATTGAAATTGAAAAATTTCTTGGCTATTCCATTGTGGTAGAATGTGACCTTTCCCAAAGGCCTGTCATTCCAGCTGTGACACCGCAGCACAATGTCGTCCCCCTCCTGGAACACTGGTTGGGAGGTCTGGAGCAGCAGCCAGTCTGAAAGACACACAGGAAGAAAAGTTTCTAAGAGTAAGATACAAGGCCTTTGCAGGAGCTCAGGGCTACATGACTCATAGAACTCGAAAGAACATTGGGCAACTGCTTCGTGGCAGATGTGAGTGTTCTTTTACAGGGAAAATATGGCATTTTGCCTGTGGGCTCTCTGAAGGATAGGAGTCTCCAGAAGTTCCAAAGAGCAGATACTTAAAAATTTTTCTGAAAAATGTAAAACACTATAATTACATAAGGAAATTAATCCATTTCAGTAACTAGAAGTTACCGAACAGGATCTGAAACATTTGATTTCTCATGGGTACAGAATTTATTGTCTGGAGATTACTAATTCAATAGTCACTCTCGAAAAAGTTTGGAAGTGAGCTAAGTGGCTATTAATGGTATTAACAGTGAAGCAGAACCTTAACAAAACATTCTCTCTTAATCCATTCAGGCTGCTATAACAAAATAGCATAATCTCAGTGGCCTATAAACAGCAGAAATGTATTTATCACAGTTCTGGAGTCTGGGAAGTCTAAGATCAAGGTGCTGGCAGCTTTTGCAACTGGTAAGGCCCCTCTTCCTGGTTTGTAGAATTGAGGCTCATTGCCACGTGTTAGAAGTGACACAAGAGGCCCAAAATCTTCTGGGCACCTCTTTTTTGAGGGGTGAGGGGCTCTGTTATAAGGAATCTACTCCCATTCATGACTCCACGCTCACCTACATAAATCAGTTCCCCAAAGGCCCTACCTCCTTATACTGTCACCTTGGGGCTTAAGGTCAACAAATCAATCTTAAGGGATATCAACATTCAAGACCAGGACCCTGAAAAGTAGCTTAGTGGTGCAGTGTTTGCCCAGCATGTGTGAGGCCCTGGTTTTGATCCTCAAGATGATAAAAAAAAAATTCAAAATTGCCTTTCATCCACATAAGAAATGAAAATGTATGACTATTGAATTCAATGTTCAATTATAGCTCTGAACAAAAGGGTAACTAAAGAAAGTTTTAAAGTTAGTCACTTTTCAAAAAAAAAAAAGAAAGAAGAAGAAAAAAAATAGTTGATCACTTTTCCCTCCTCGACTATAAACACTCTCATTCCCAGCCACCCCCTCTTCATTGATGGCAGAGTAATCAAGTTTCAAAATTCAGCTACTTTGGAGGCTAAGTCTTGAAGAATGCATTAACTAACTTACTAGAGAAGAAACTCAAATTGCTCTGTTACAGAAATTAATATCTTGATTTATTCTATCTTAAATGAAAATTTATTTATGAGAACAATATTCTGGATATGAGAGGCAAGATAGTGTTACTGAGACAGCATGAAACAGAAATCTAAAGTCAGGATTCTTATTTTGGCTCCTGTCATCAGCTGTTGGGTGTCCTCAGCTTAAATTCCTTCTACAACAGAGGCCTGGAGTTAAGCACTTTCTCCCTAGCAACTCTTTGGACCTAAGTTTTTGTTATGTATAATTTATGTTTTCATGGGAAAAGTCAGAAGTACGATCTCTTTCTGGAGAGGAAAGTATACAAGGAGCAGGGATGAGTAGCTGTGATGTCACTGGGCAGGTTTTTTTAGTTTAACCCAATATTTCTGAATTTATTTTGCAGTGCTGGGTATCAAACCCAGGGTCTTGTGCATTCTAGCCAAATGCTCTATCACTGAACTATACCTCAGCCCTTTTTCCTCTTTCATGAGAGCACCAGCCATAAAAAGTGACTCCATATGAGAATTTCTCTGATATAGGGAGCCTTAAAGGGCCATTTAAAAAAAACTGCCTTCTTTGTAATAAACGGGAAAGTCTAAAGCACTGGATTCTTACATGTACCACCTGCAGGGTTTATGCATCAAGTTATAGCTGAAATAAATTATTCATATTTTCAGATGTTGGAGTGAGGTAGAAATAGTCTAGGAGTAGTTTCCTCACAGAATCTATTAAACTGTACACTACTTCATATTTACATAAGACTAAATCAGATCATGTAGTTCCTTGCATTATAATCATCTCATGACTTACATGATGGAATACTATTCAGCCATTAAAAGAATAAAATCCTGTCATTTGCAACAACGTGGATGGAACTGGAGATCATTATGTTAAGTGAAATGAAACAAGGGCTTTGGGGGAAAGACAAATATTATATAATCTCAATCATATATAGAATTTTTTTTTGGTACCAGGGATCAAACTTGGGACCTTGTGCTTGTGAGGCAGGTGGCAGAACCACTGAGCTAAATCCCTGGCAGAGAGAATAGTTTTTAAAAAGTTGATTTCACCAGGCATAGTGGTGCCCACCTGTAATCCCAGAACTCAGGAGGCTGAGGCAGGAGGATCACCTCTAGTTCAAGGCCACCCTGGGCTAATAGTGAGACCCTGTCTCAAATAAACTTAGATAAATAAACAAATAAAAATAAAAGGTTGATTTCCTACAAGTTGAAAGTAGAATGGTGGTTAGCAGAGGGTAATGAGAGGAGTGGGGAGGAAGGAATGGGGAGAGATTAGTCAATGGCTGCTGAGTTACAGTTAGCTAGGAGCAAGGTGTTCCGTGTGCTGTGGCACAGTAGGATGCCTATCATGTACCATATAGTCCAAAAAGCTAGAAGAAAGGATTTTGAATGTTTTCCCCATCAAGTATTTGAGGAGATAAATTATGTTTAACCTGGTTTAAACATTACACATACACACGTATCAAGCCATGACATTAGACCACTAATATATACAACGTTCACGTATCAGCTGAAAAAATTTAATTTTTGCAAAAACCATCTCAAAGGCCAGGGATTCAGCTCAGTGGTTCTGCTGCCTGCCTCAAAAGCACAAGGTCTGGAGTTCGATAACCAGTACCAAAAAAAAAAAAATCTCATGAATTTTCATTTCATTCAGGAATAAAAGTTAAGGTCATTGCAACAGCTTGTCAGCCTCCACACCTCCGACCAGACTGTTTTCCCCCCTTGGGGTTCCGGCCTCCTGTCTCCTGGACTCCTGGCAGATGGCTTGTTAGCAGAGTGACCCCCTCACACTGGACAGGCAGGCTCCCACCAGGGGCCTTTACAGATCTCTGCCTCCAACGTCTATGCTTCCCCACATTAGAGCAGGGTGCTTTTATGAAGTACAGACCTCCTTCTGCTTCTCTCACACCCAGCTGCCCATCTATGGCCTTGCAACCCTCTTGCTCAATCAGGACTGAGGTAAAAACAACCTAATACATGCTGAGGAAATTCTAAGCAAAGGGGTGGGTGAAAAGGGAAATGAGATGCACATTGGTAGTTCCAGTACTCTGGGAAACTGAGGCAGGAGGTTCACAACTACAGCCTAATCTGGGCAATTTAGCAACTTAGTGAGAACCTACCTGGCTCAAAACAAAGACAGGTGGGGATATAGTTAGTTCAGTGCAAAGGCTCTGTTTCAAGACCTGGTACTGCAAAACAAGACAAGAAAAGGAAAGCAAAGGGAGGGAAAAAGAAAGGAAAGGAAAAGGAAAGGAAAGGAAAGGAAAGGAAAGGAAAGGAAAGGAAAGGAAAGGAAAGGAAAGGAGAAAGGAAAGGAGAAAGGAAAGGAAAGGAAAGGGAAAGGAAGAAAAAGAAAATGAGTGGGCAAAACTACGTGAGCAAGTCAGAGTGGCGCTTCCCAGAAATCAGGCCAGCCCCCTTTCCTGCCAACATCCGCAGTGTCAGCAGGTTCCCCTCTCCTGGTCCCCCTACCCCTGTCCTCTACTGACCCGCAATCACGTCCAGATGCACAGGGTCGCTAAGGCTGGTCCCGCCCATCTGGCACCGGTACTCTCCCCTGTCATTTTTCTCGGCTGTGAACCTGTAGCTGGGATGGACCTCGGCGGGGATGGGGCTCCCGCTGTGGAGCCACTGGGTGGAGTGGTTCCCAGGGCTGCGGGCCCCCTCGCATGTCAGTGTCACGAGGTCTCCCTGGAGCACCTGGATCCATGGGGGCTCGCGTCTCACCACAGCCTTTGGGAGATCTGTTGAGGGAAGCAGAGCAGAAAGGAATGTGAATAATTAACGTTGGAGAGGCCATGGATCACAGAGGAGCCATGCTATGTGTCTCCTTAAAGATCTGTGTGCATACGTACAGCAGCCTCATTCTCCCGAATCTTCAGTGAATTTGGAAGGAATCATACAAAGAACCAAATCCCCGGCTCTACTGAAATAGGGGCACTGCCCGTGCTGAGCCGAAACCTGACTTTTGGTGGCAGGCTTTTCCTTACAAAGTAAATCCAGTGTCTTACTGTGAGGAAATAGCACCACAAAAACAAGAAAGCCAAGAGCAAACTCACCAGTTTGCCTTTCTGCAGAAGCTGTAAAAAAAGAGAAGAGAATGGATCAACACAGAGCAATAGAGGAAGATAACATTTAAATTGGCCCTGGTCACACACACTTATAATCCTAGCATTCTGGAAGGCTGAAGCAGGAGGATTGCAAGTTTGAGCCCAGCCTGAGTAATTTAGCAAGATCCTATCTCAAAATAAACTTCTCAAGAGGACTGGGGATATAGCTCAGTGTGAAAGCCGTAGGTTCAATCCCTAGGGCGCGCACACGCACACACACACACACACACACACACACACACACACAAGTGTAGAAGGAGAGAGGCAAGTTAAAAAGAGGTGATTTGGGCTTCTTCTTTTCCCATGACCCTTTCTGAGAACATATTTGCCCAGTTGTGCTGGCACACACCTGTAATCCCCAGCACTTGGGGGGCTGAGGCAGGAGGACCATAGGGAGTTCAAGGCCAGCCTGGGCTACACAATGCAAGGTCAGCCTGAACTACATAGTGAGATGCTGTCTCCAAAAAAAAAGAGTCTATTTGCAGTTAACCTCCTGACTATCTTTTTTTTCTTATCCTCTTTATCTCATTTCTGTCCCCATGACATGACTACAAAGAGTAGTATGAATGTTTGGAGCACAGGGAGCTTCTCACGGATTGTGAAAGTATCTCCAAAATCTGACCTTAGGAACCATGGAAGCTATAAGAATTCAGAGTTCTCTCTTCCCTTTGTCTGACTCTAGCTTCTAGGGCCCACACCTTCTCCTTACCACACTGTCCCTGAAGTCCAGGCAGTAGGAGGGGCTGAAATGTCCCTCTCCCAGAAGGACTTCTACTCACCCAACACCAGCAAAAGTGTCAGTGGTTGAAACAGCCATCGGCCTCGAGGATATACATTCTGAAACATTTGGGTCTTCAAAGTCGTCTCAGATCTGGGCCAGAGTCCAATGAGGGTTAGGAGATGAACTTCGAAAAGAGGAAGGAAATTGTTTCATACTTTTGTACATATGTCATCAGTCACCAGATTCTCTTTCTGCTAATGAATCATTAACAAGTCAAGGAATAAAGCCTGCTTTATAGTAAATGCCTCTATCACGTAGCCCCTTGTTGTGTCCTTGGGAAAGCTCTGGGCTATTGCTTCTTGGTGAGGAAACAGGGAAACACTAAGAAGGAGACCCGGAGCTGGAGCCCAGGTCCTGGGTCCCACTTCAGTGTTGTTCCCACTCCACTTCCCATTTGCCTCACTGGCCAGTACAGAAAGTTCCACAGAAGCTTCAACTCTGACAAATCTTGCACCAAGAGATCAGAAAAAGAGCTGACAGGCAGAACAGAGAGAAACCCAAGTGCACAAACAATAAGCCACCCCCACCTCCGGTAAAATACAGAGGAAGTGGGGGGGGCTGACTAACCTTAAGACAGTGTGTACTCACACCTATGCACTAATGTAAACACTTATATACATCTGTATTCCCTCTAGAGTCACTATATTATTCACTCTGGGGTCATTATAGAGTACAATAGATACTCACACGCCCCCTTACTAACTCTAAGCTCACCGAGAATAAGGCACTCCCTTGCCAACTAGCTGCCCACCCCAAAGATAAGGCCTTAAAAGGTAGGTCAAAGACAAGTAAACAGACCAAAAAAGCTGCACATAGACCTCCAGAAGAAATGATGTTAGGCAGAGATGCCTGGAAGCCAATCCAGTTATGGTAAGTTCCGGGTGGAGGGAAAGGAGTCACGCACTCCCCCTCATAAAAACAGCTGAGAACAAAGGGCCCATGGGTCCTCCATCTTTCCAGAGCCCCTTACCCTGATTTTTTCTCATCAAGGTAGCTATCTATCATCTCCTCTCTCCCTCCTTTTCCACTTTGCAAATAAAGTGTCTTCCTTCCGTTAAACCTTGTCCCTCTAATTTATTTTTGGGGCTGAGTTATGTTCCTGGTGGGCTGCTGGGACAACAGAGCAGAGGTGCTCATCCTCCAGATGCAACAGAAAACACTTTTTTGTCTCTATATTAACTCTCTACACAGTTTTGACACCAAATTTTTGAGTTTTTTCTACACTAAGCAATTCTCCACACCAGCCCTACAACTCCTTTCTAACACTATCTACCTGGAATTAACATAAAATCCCACAGTTTGAGCTCTCAGTCCCACAAGATGGTGCCCCTTCAGAAGCCAGTGGCAAGCAGGGCCCCCTATATTTCTGACTGATGGCTATAAATTAGAAGTTCCTGCTGGCCCTTTTGCCACGGGCCTGTGATTCCACTACTCTCCAAGGCTGAGGCAGGAGGGTCACAAGTCTGAGCACAGCCTGGGCAACTAGGTGACTTAGCAAGACCCTGTCTGAAAATTTAAAAGTAAAAAAGGGCCGGGGAATGTAGCTTATGAAAAGGCCCTATGTTCAACCCCAGTATACCATAAACAAAACTAAAACCAAAACCCTCTATTTCTTATGTAATTAGTTAAGATGAGGCATTACTAGCTAGAGTGGGCCCCTAATGTAAAAGATAAAGAAATAATAACAGGGCAGCCCTTTGTCTGTTGCCCAGCCTCCCCATGATGTTTTTGCCATAGGAGTGCTGTTCAAGCAATGTAACTGTACTGCACCATGTTCCTGCCCAATGTTCAAGCAATGTACCTGTTTGTGCTGCATGATGTTTGTACCTAAGGTTTCAAGAATGTTCTGTTAACTCTGCCCATCCACCTCAATGAGCATTCTCACCTGGTAGGTGGGCCTACCCTCCTACCCTGAAAATCTCTATATAAGGCTGCTTGCATTGCTGTTCAGGGCTCTGACTTCAGAGTACAAACTCCTCTGAGTCCATTGGCATAATAAAGAATACCTCCATCTCTCCAAGTGCCTCTGCACTTCTTTGCTGCCAGAGACCTTCAGATAGCTGTAACACTTGGCTGTAAAGCTGAGGTGTCACAGGAAAATTGGGATACAAAGACAGACCTATAAACAGAGAAAACGCCATATGAAGCTTGGAATCCTTCTGCCACAAGCCAAGGTACTACCAGAAGCTACAAAAAGCTCTGGACCAGATCTTTCCCTCCAGCCTTCAGAGCATGGGTCTGCACAAACCCTGAGCCTAACTTCTAGCTTCTAGAACAGTAAGACAAATTTCCGTTGTTACACTGGGTGTGGTGGCACATGCCTATAATCCTAGCACTTGGGAGGCTGATGCAGGAGGATTGCCGAGAGTTTGAGGCCAGCCTGGGGTACATAGTGAATTCTAGGCCAGCCTAAATTGCAGTGAGACTCTGTCTCAAAAAAAAAAAAATGTTATGGTTTGGGTCTGGATGTCCCCCCAAAGCCTCATTTGGTCAGAGGTGGCTGAATCTGCAATGTGTAATCCTGGGATTAAGGGCATATGATTACTAAACCACTACATGTGAGTGAGTGGTTTAGCACCGCCCTAATCCCAGTAGTCTGGATGGGACAAAAGAGGCAGAAAGATGTGGGGAAGCTCTCTCTTGTTACCTTTGCCACCTTGTGTGCACCATGTTGTTTCTCCTCTATGAGGCCTGTTTGTCATCCCTGCCTTGAAGCCAGTCAATTATGGACTGAAACCTCTATGAACTGTGAGCTAAATAAACTCCTTCCCCTCTAACTTTGGCTGTCAGGTATTTTGTCTCAGCAGGGAGAGAAAAGTAACCAATACAAAAAGTTAAGAAAAAAAATTTGTTATTTAAGCTACTCAGTTTATGGTATGTTATTATGGCAGCCCTGGAAAACAAATAATTGGGTTAAGTGAAAAATATTACAAAAATTAATTTTACCTGTTCCTTTTACTGTTTTAAAATGTAGTTACTGGAGGGCTGGGATTTAGTTCAGTGGTTCCGCTGCCTGCCTTGCAAGCCCAAGGTCCCAAGTTCGATCCCCAGTACTAAAAATTAAAAAAAAAATTTAACGTGGTTACTAGAAAATTTGAATTCTTTATTTTTCTTTTGGACAGCACTAGTGTACTTGGCAATATTTATCCTGTCAGACTTACCAAAGAGCTATTTCTTCCTCTCCAAGGCCTTCATGTAGTAATGCTTGTCTATTCCACAGCCTGTGGTTAATGTGAAGTCAATCTATAATCATAACAGCATAACATCATAAGCATAACAGCAACTGGATTTTAAACTTGTGCTTTCCCCCGCCAAGCACTGAGGATTGATCCTGTACCTGCTAGGCAAGCACTCTGAGCTGGACATCCCCAATCTTTTTTAAAATATTTTATTTTGAGGCAGGGTCTCACTAAGTTGACCTTCCTGGTCTCACATTTGGGATCCTCCTGCCTGAGCCTCCCTGGTAGCTAGGATTACTGGTGTGCACCACCACATCCAGTTTAAAATTCTTTTGTTTTTTTTCTTCCTGTGCTTAGGAACAAACCTAGGGCCTAGAACAGGCTAAGAAAGTGCCCTACCAGTGCTTCATTTCTTTCAGCACTCACACTCCACTCTTGAGTGTGTCCTATATCTTCCCCAAATGAATCCTTCTCATGCCTCTTTAAAAAGAAAAGAAAAGAAAAGCAAGTGCTCCACCACTGAGCCACGTTCTCAGACCTCAAACTCCTCTTGATAATCTATTTAGATGAGTTCTCTTGCTTTGACACTTGATACTCTTCTGAATACCATTCTTAGCTTTCCCTTTAAATCCATAAACTTCCAGTCATAGACTCTATGCTGCTGAGGCTGTTTTCAAGCTGAGGCTCAAATGATTCTCTTACCTCAGCCTCTCAAATACTGCAACTATAGGCACAGGGTACTATATTTTCCTGCCACAGACTTTTTTTTTTTCCAGCATAGTATTGAATCCAGGACCTTCACACTGCGCTGCATCCCCAACCTTTTTTTTTAAGTCACAGTCTCACTAAGTCACAAAATTGCCCAAGGTGGAATTGAACAAGCAATCCTCATGCCTCAGCCTCTCAGAATACTGGGATTACAGACATGCCTCACCATGCCTAGCTAGTCACAGGCAAAAAAAAAATTAATTTTATTGGTACATTTTAGTTATACAATATAATGACATTCATCATTGGAGATTTGTACCTTTACGTAATATATCTTTTTTTTTTTTTGGTACCGGGGATCGAACTCCACACCTTGTGCCTGCAAGGCAAGCAGTGGAACCACCAAGCTAAATCCCCAGCCCTATGTAATATATCTTGATTCTTATTTTTTTCCCCATTCTCCTGCCCTCCCTCCAACCCTTCCACCCCTCTCTATTTCCAAAGACTTTGTTCCCATTTTTTCATTTTCTTGTGTTAATTCCATGTCCTTCTTTCCTTTCCCCTACCCCTCCCAGTTCCCCTTCCCCTTTGCACCTTTTCTTCCTATTTCACATTATCCATTATACATTTTGATCCTTATTTACACTTTCAGTTTCTCACACCAGAGAAACTGTTTGGTATTTACACATGTGTGTCCTATTTATTTGACTTCATAGACATTTTTTGCTATCAACTTAACACCTATTCATCCATCCTGATTTTTAGGGCCATATCTGTTGGGCTGACCTGCTTTATTTTGCAACTAGTGGGGAGAACTGAATAGATGCTATATCATTTAAAAATCAGTCATTCTATGAGAACACTCACATTGCTCAATGAGCCACAGTGAGTAACTTCATCTCAATCACTTTGATTTTTTTTAGGCACATACCATCGTGATGGTACTCAGTGATACTAAACTTCAGGAATTAGATTGCTGATTCATCTGTATGTTGATGAAGATATAGCATGTCCTTTAAGTTTGGGCTGTAAGAAGTTCCTCTTCCTATTTCCTAATGAAAGAAAATGTATCTGTCCATTGCTTCTCGGCCTTTTGGCTAAAATCAAGTGAAAATGTATCTGTCAACCCTAGAGCACTAATACATAAGGTTAAATAAAATATATTATTAAAATAAATTTTATCTGTTCCTTTTTAAATAACCTTAAATAAAATAACTAAGTTTGGGGGAAATATTTACCCCCAAAACCATTTTAGAGTAGTTGACCTTGAGCCATTTTGTCTGATAATTATTAGATAGAAGAATCAGTAACTGAGGCCACTTAGTTTAGATTGAATCTCTGCCCCAGAGAAACTTTCAATCTGGTAATCTTATTCTTCATCTCCTGGAAATCTATTTTCATCTGTTTTATGGATTCCATTTGTTTCCTATGTTGGGATTCCATCATGTTCCCGAGCTCCTCTCTAGATTTATTAATCATGTCTTACACTAGGAGCACAATTTCTCCTGTTATCTGAGAAGTTATTTCTGATTTCATTTTTTCCAGATCCCCTTTTG